CTGGCCCCCTCAGCCACTTCCACCAAACTCTCAGCGGTGGTTTCCTCACCAGGGCGATTTTTTGCACGGGCTGGGGAGGACCAGACAGAGCCATTGCCCTGGGAAAGGCTTTCCTGTCCCTTTCACAAGTCTGGTTGATGTCCATGTTTTATTTGTTTCTCTTGAGTCACACCCACCCTCCTGCTTCCAGTGGCTCCATGGGTCTATGGTTATGCAAAGCATGGGCATCCCCGTGATAAGGTGCCCATGGAGTGTGGTTTCCCCAAGGGGTGGGTGCCACGGGGTCCCATTGCTCTCGGGGCGCTGGTCCTGCCTGGCACAGGGACCGGGCAGAGCAAGGGATGTCCCTTGGGAGAGGGAGCATCCTGGCCGCTCCGTCCCGCTGAGCAGGGGCCATCCCTCTGTGTCCTGGGACAGCAGCAACCAAAAGCTTGAAGTGAAGATCTTTACTGTCAGCTTGTCCGGCTGGACGACAGCCTAGCTAGGTGTGAGGTTCTTGCTCCTTGGCGTCCCCGCTGTCTACCGTGGCCCCAAGCTCTGGGTGGAACATGTTTTGGCCTTCTACCAGCTCCTACCAGGGCTTTGAATGAGGATTTTCCTTTCCTGCCATGTCCTGGGGAAGCTGGTGATGGTCGTCTGGGAGGCTGCCGTCTCCGCTGGGGTCAGCCCATCCGGCCATAACCACGGGGAATTAGAGACGGGTGGAAAAACATCTAAAACTCATGCAAATATTTGCTTTTCTAGCGCTTTTCCAAGTATTGGGGGACGCTGACAAAGCGGCAGTGTGGGCAAAGCAGGCACGCTAACAGGTCTGCTTGGCTTTTTTTTGGGCAGGATTTCAATGGTCAAACAGTTTTGTTTAAAATAAAAAAGCTGAGCAAATGAGGAGATTTGCCAGCGTTGCCGCTCCTCAGGGCAAAACAGCCACCCTGTTGCTGAGAGCACCACGAGCCTTCAAACCACTCCTGCCCTGTGCTGGTGGGTGCACGGCTCGCACCTCAGTGCTCCGTTTTCCTTCTCTGCTGAAGGGGGTTTTGGCAGGAAAGGGGCTCCCTGTGCCTGGTGCTGTTCTGCCTGGGAGCATCCTGGGGGTCTGGGGCTGATGTTGAGCTGGCGGGGCTTGCCTGAAGCCTTGCATGGCTGCCCTGTCCTGCCCATGCCAGGGGATGCTCACTGCTGTTGGCTCCTGCCTGTCCTGCCAGCTTTTGCCAGTGGTATCAGCTTGTGTGAAGGGTGGCTGGGGGAGAAGGGTGGCCATGGACCCTGGTGGCCCCACGACCGCCCATCCCAAGTGTGGATGAGAGCTGGAATAAGGGGAGAAGTTGGGGGAACCCTGGGACAGACACAGGTGTGCTGGACAAGAGGACCACTGCGTGCCCCTGTGCAGTGAGCACCCATGGCTGGTGCTGGCCCTGGGGCTACGTGCATGCAGGGGAATAGGCTCCTGCACGGGACAGCCTGGGCAGTGCAGTACGTGTGTGCCGGGGCAGGGCTCTGCCTCCCCAGGCCAAGGATACGTGCAGATCATCGCTGTGGTGATGGACCACAGGGGGACAAGCACCAGGTAGATGAGGCAGGACAGCAGGACTGCCATGACATAGCCCACGGTGACATTCAGAGCTGGCAGAGTCAGCCAGCCACACCTGCAGGAGGGGTACAGGGAGGACAGGGCCAAGGTCAGGCCCTGGGGCTGCCGTGGGAGAGGCAGAGAGAGGGGAGAGAGTCTTGGGGTGCTCAGCCCCAGGGGCTGCTGGAGCTGGGTGAGATCGAGGCGGTTCGAGCTGATGCCTGGCTCTAACGTCTGGGGGATGCTGGTGTGAAAGAGCAGCTCTGCTGCCCCACATCCCTAGGATGGGGCTTGGCCTGCAGCTACAGGGCGACTTACAGGAAGGAGACCAGCAAGCTCAGGTAGGTGAGGGTGCTGAAATGAAGGGGGATGAGAAGCTCCATGATGGACCAGGCAGCTGTATGGCCCCAGCCTCACAGGATGGACAACATCCCACTCCCACAGCAGTGGCAGTGCAACAAATCCCCCCCCCGCATTCCATTACTATGGTAACCACAGCATTTCCACACACCCCCATCCCGCCATCCTATTCCCATGGCAACTGCAGGATCCTGCTCCCACGGCAGGGTGCCACTCTGGTGTCAGCAGGAGCCCACTGCCAGAGGGGCAAAGGGTAGGGGCTTGAAGGTCCCTGGGGACCCGGTACAAACCAGCACTCATTTTCCTTGGGGTGCTGGGAGAATGCCAGGAGCCGTGGGCACCCCTGGGACCCATGGGCATGCTGGGATCTATCTAGGACAATAATACACTGCTCCCCACACCTAACGCTCCAGCTTCCTCCAGCCTGTCCCCTTCCCCAAGCCTGGGCTCTGCTTCTGTCCCAAGATGCTGGGGTGCTGAGCTGGGGTGCTGAGCATTGGGCCAGCCCTGCCCTCTAGCGTTGCAGGAGCGAATCTCAGCATGCCTCAGCCCCGGGCTGC